CTTTATGACTTACTTTACCATGACATTTTTCTGACATTGTGTGCCTTACTATACTATGATTTTTATGTCTTTTTACCCCTTACTGTACTATGATGTTTTTATACCTTACTATACTATGACGTTCTTATGAATCTTTATGCCTGTCTGTACAATGTCGTCTTCATGACTTTTTATGCCTTACTATACTATGACGTTTTTATGCCTTTTTATGCCTTATTATACTATGACTTTTTTGCCTTACTATACAATGACCTTTTGATGACTTTTTGTGACTTACTATACTATGACATTTTTATGACTTTTTATGCCTCACTATGCTATGACCTTGTGATATCTTTTCATGCCTTACTATATTATGACGTTTTTGGGACTTTTTATGCCTTACTGTACTATGACGTTTTCATGATTTTTTATACCTTAGTGTACTATGGCATTTTATTTTATGCCTTACTATACTATGCTGTTTTTATGCCTTACTATACTATGATATTTTTCTGACTTGTTATGCCTTACTATACTATAACGTTGTTATGCCTTTTTATGCCTTACTATACTATTAAGTTTTTGTGACTTTTTATGCCTTACTGTACTATGATGTTTTTCCAACTTACTATACTATGATATTTTTCTGACTTGTTATGCCTTACTATACTATAACGTTGTTATGCCTTTTTATGCCTTACTCTATACTATGATGTTTTTCCAACTTACTATACTATGATATTTTTCTGACTTGTTATGCCTTACTATACTATAACGTTGTTATGCCTTTTTATGCCTTACTCTATACTATGATGTTTTTCCAACTTACTATACTATGATATTTTTCTGACTTGTTATGCCTTACTATACTATAACGTTGTTATGCCTTTTTATGCCTTACTCTATACTATGATGTTTTTCCAACTTACTATACTATGATATTTTTCTGACTTGTTATGCCTTACTATACTATAACGTTGTTATGCCTTTTTATGCCTTACTCTATACTATGATGTTTTTCCAACTTACTATACTATGATATTTTTCTGACTTGTTATGCCTTACTATACTATAACGTTGTTATGCCTTTTTATGCCTTACTCTATACTATGATGTTTTTCCAACTTACTATACTATGATATTTTTCTGACTTGTTATGCCTTACTATACTATAACGTTGTTATGCCTTTTTATGCCTTACTCTATACTATGATGTTTTTCCAACTTACTATACTATGATATTTTTCTGACTTGTTATGCCTTACTATACTATGACGTTTTTATGACTTTTTATGCCTCACTATGCTATGACCTTGTGATATCTTTTTATGCCTTACTATATTATGACGTTTTAGTGACTTTTTATGCCTTACTGTACTATGACGTTTTCATGATTTTTTATACCTTAGTGTACTATCACATTTTATTTTTATGCCTTACTATACTATGCTGTTTTTATGCCTTACTATACTATGATATTTTTCTGACTTGTTATGCCTTACTATACTATGACGTTGTTATGCCTTTTTATGCCTTATTATACTATGAAGTTTTTGTGACTTTTTCTGCCTTACTGCACTATGACGTTTTCATGATTTTTTTATACCTTAATGTACTATGACATTTTATGACTCTTTATGACTTACTTTACCATGACATTTTTCTGACATTGTGTGCCTTACTATACTATGATTTTTATGTCTTTTTACCCCTTACTATACTATGATGTTTTTATGCCTTATCATACTATGACGTTCTTATGAATTTTTATGCCTTTCTGTACAATGTCGTCTTCATGACTTTTTATGCCTTACTATACTATGACGTTGTTATGCCTTTTTATGCCTTACTATACTATGACGTTGTTATGCCTTTTTATGCCTTACTATACTATGACGTTGTTATGCCTTTTTATGCCTTACTATACTATGACGTTGTTATGCCTTTTTATGCCTTACTATACTATGACGTTGTTATGCCTTTTTATGCCTTACTATACTATGACGTTGTTATGCCTTTTTATGCCTTACTATACTATGACGTTGTTATGCCTTTTTATGCCTTACTATACTATGACGTTGTTATGCCTTTTTATGCCTTACTATACTATGACGTTGTTATGCCTTTTTATGCCTTACTATACTATGACGTTGTTATGCCTTTTTATGCCTTACTATACTATGACGTTGTTATGCCTTTTTATGCCTTACTATACTATGACGTTGTTATGCCTTTTTATGCCTTACTATACTATGACGTTGTTATGCCTTTTTATGCCTTACTATACTATGACGTTGTTATGCCTTTTTATGCCTTACTATACTATGACGTTGTTATGCCTTTTTATGCCTTACTATACTATGACGTTGTTATGCCTTTTTATGCCTTACTATACTATGACGTTGTTATGCCTTTTTATGCCTTACTATACTATGACGTTGTTATGCCTTTTTATGCCTTACTATACTATGACGTTGTTATGCCTTTTTATGCCTTACTATACTATGACGTTGTTATGCCTTTTTATGCCTTACTATACTATGACGTTGTTATGCCTTTTTATGCCTTACTATACTATGACGTTGTTATGCCTTTTTATGCCTTACTATACTATGACGTTGTTATGCCTTTTTATGCCTTACTATACTATGACGTTGTTATGCCTTTTTATGCCTTACTATACTATGACGTTGTTATGCCTTTTTATGCCTTACTATACTATGACGTTGTTATGCCTTTTTATGCCTTACTATACTATGACGTTGTTATGCCTTTTTATGCCTTACTATACTATGACGTTGTTATGCCTTTTTATGCCTTACTATACTATGACGTTGTTATGCCTTTTTATGCCTTACTATACTATGACGTTGTTATGCCTTTTTATGCCTTACTATACTATGACGTTGTTATGCCTTTTTATGCCTTACTATACTATGACGTTGTTATGCCTTTTTATGCCTTACTATACTATGACGTTGTTATGCCTTTTTATGCCTTACTATACTATGACGTTGTTATGCCTTTTTATGCCTTACTATACTATGACGTTGTTATGCCTTTTTATGCCTTACTATACTATGACGTTGTTATGCCTTTTTATGCCTTACTATACTATGACGTTGTTATGCCTTTTTATGCCTTACTATACTATGACGTTGTTATGCCTTTTTATGCCTTACTATACTATGACGTTGTTATGCCTTTTTATGCCTTACTATACTATGACGTTGTTATGCCTTTTTATGCCTTACTATACTATGACGTTTTTCCAACTTACTATACTATGACGTTTTTCCACCTTACTATACTATGACATTTTTATGCCTTCCTATACAATGTTGTCTTTATTATACTATGACGTTTTTGTGCCTTTTCATGCCTTACTTTTTTTTTTTTTATACCTTATTGTACTATGACTTTTTATGAGTCCTCATGACTTACTTTACCATGACATTTTTCTGACATTGTGTGCCTTGCTATACTATAAGTATTTTGTAACTCTTTATGCCTTACTTCACTATGACGATTTTATGACATGTGAACTTATTATACTATGAGGTTTTGATGCCTTTCTATACTATGCTGTTGTGCCTCACTGTACTATGTTGCCTTAATGACTGAGTCCTCATGACTTACTTTACCATGACATTTTTCTGACATTGTGTGCCTTGCTATACTATGACTATTTTGTAACTCTTTATGCTTTACTAAACTATAACGTTTTTTTGACTTTTTATACCTTATTATACTATGACGTTTTTATGTCTGTTCATGGTTTACTTTACTGTGACATATGATATATGACGACATTTTTATGCTTATTTATACCTTTTTGTACTATGACGTTTTTATGACTTTTTATGCCTGACTTTACCATCATGTTTCAATGCTTAATTATACTATAATATTTTTATGCCTTTTTATGCCTTACTATACTATGACATTTTTATGCTTAAATGTACTATGAAGTTTTTTATGACTTTTTATACCTTACTATACGATGACATTTTTAGGCCTTTCTATACTATGATGCTTTCATGCCTTTCTATATAACGTTGTCTTTATGAGTTTTTATGCCTCACTATACTATGACATTTTTATGCCTTACTATACTATGACGTTCTTATGCCTTACTATATGGTCTTTTTCTGCCTTACCACACTGTCATATTTTTATGCCTTACTATATTATGACGTTTTATGCCTTACCACACTATGATATTTTTATGCTTTACTATACTATGACGAATTACTGCCTCAGCCCTATACCATGACTTTTCATTCCTTACTATACTATGATGTTTAATGCCTTACCATATTACGACGTTTTCGTCCCTTACTACACTATGACCTATTTATTCTATGACCTTTTTGAACCTTTTCATGTCTTATTATCGTATGAAGTTTTTATGCCTTACTATACTAAGATAATTTATGACTTATTAAATACTATGTCGTTTTTTGACATTTTATGTCTCACTATACTAGATGATATGTTTCTATTAGCTAGACTTATATGTCAATATATGATATTGTACCAATTTGTAACAGGTTTCATATGTAATTTTTACATACAGTATTAGGCTATCCTTTAAATACATGTATGATTTTACTTCATGTGCTCACATATTTCATATATGGAAATTCAACACATGTACATATATTACATCTGCGTATGGGCATTCCTGAATGTAAACTCACATCTTATATTTTAATAAACCTTTTGGTTGATGGCATTAAAAATCCAATCTCTTTGTTTTGGAGGCGTGGCAGGGTTGTTGCATCCTTACCAATTTTGAGACCAAATCTACACCCTTGACACTGATCATGCCACTATATAGGATTTCTGGTTAGCCTTAGTCCTTAAAATCTGCAGTAGACTCTCCCCAATTCAAACTACATTTATTCTCTAACCAAAGTACAGTACCAAGTACAGTAGGACATCTGTGTGTGTGTGTGTGTGTGTGTGTGTGTGTGTGTGTGTGTACATATGTCTTGATAGTGGACATTTCTCACCTTGATGCGGACCTCGTTGGCCTGGGGAGGGGCTACCTCAATCTCCTCAATAACCAAAGGCTTGTTGGGCTCCCAGGCCACTGCTGCCCTGCACTTGATGACCTAGAGGTCAATGACACTACATGAATTACCCAGCAAAAAATCTCACATTATTGGGTGCAGCCTGAGCTAAACTAGGATGGGTTTCTGGAAAGGTGCTCTATGGCAGATTCCTAAAACACATCAAGCATCTACATAAACACAAACATACTACATAAAGTGTCACTTTGCATTTAACTATGCAGAGTTGAACACTGGATAAAATGTTACTATTCTGTGATTTCAAGGCAAACAGTCATATAATGGTGGCAAATTGACATCATGCAATCTTTTAATTACGAGTATAGTACAGTGGTTTCAGTGTCTCTGTTACAGCAGGTGCTGGAAAAAAGTAAACTCGTGAAGCGAAAGTTTAAAGTTCACATAGGTTATTTGGAAAACATAAATTTTATCAGACCAGTATGATTTAATGTAGGGTGGGCTACTTAAGTAACACAGAGTAAACCATTGAGGAAATTAGTTGTTGTCTTTTTGGTCATTTTTTTTTTATTCCACTGTGGTAGTACAATGAATTCTTGGGCTTCCACCATTATCCTTTCTCCGCACACTACCACATACAGCTTTGCCAATATCCACAGTTGTGCAAAAAGAAAACAAATTTAAAAAAAAAACTGTTTGGATAAACTGTGTGCCAGGTCCAAACAGGACAAGCAATATTTCACAGGGATAGAGGGGACAGACAGAGAAAACATTTCATTTTATATTTTTACAGCCGTGAAAATAATCATTCTAACTTATTTTTAATTAAATGATTAATTCATGTTCAAAGACAATTACATTTTAACAGCACTGAAACACTTATTTATAGCATTGTCAGGTGTAAGCTTGGTATATTACACCCATCCACACTTAATCTGCTGAATTTACATAGCATACACAAACTTAACATGTAAAAATCTTATAATATAATATTCAAGTAAAATATGTTAATGCAAGGTTTGTTACATTGTTTTCTGATCTTTGGTTTATTACCTACCTGACTATACCTATACAGTGCAGAAAAACATCACTGTTGTACACATTTTGAATTATGTACCTACCTTACCAGCTGTGGCCATTTTTGCAGTAAAGATTACTGTCAAAAATTGAGAGAGGAGTTGAGATAGAAGGAAAAGCTAGAGGACCGAAGAAGGAGACAGAATCTTGGACTTCAGGTTTATATATTGTTGAAAAAAAAAGTTATGTAACTAGTTAGATGGGCTGGGACATTGAATATTTAGACTGTGCTTTGTCGCTTTGTCATTGGCTATTGATAGCTGTAAAAAAAAAAAAAGTTCTGTGGAGCTGAGAAAAACAAACAGCAGCGGCCACAGATGAGGAATACATCAATCATCCAGATCAACCCTTTTTAGGATGTGATATTGTCTTGATAAAACAAAAAATGTTGACTTTGTGAGAGAGACATAGAGGTCTTGGCATTACTTCAATCTTGCAGTCATATACAAACATTAGGCTTCAGCACTGCTTGGTTAAGATAAATGTTAAACTGTCATCCAAGAGAATTGACAAGTTAAGTATAAAGATTGTTGTGTAGAAAGTTTAACTCATAATGTTGCAATCACATAAAATGATAAATGATATTTTTTTCTGAATTGGTTTGCAAGGACACAGCAAACCAAAATCTCATTTACAGCACAGGATCCACTTTGAATTAGAAATGGGAAAATACCAAGAAACAGAAGCAGTGTGGGTGGGGTTGTAGTAGTCAGGGTTTGGAGGGTGGTGTCATTTTTAATTGCCGTCCTAAAATCCAAAAGATATGACACAAAAGTATAAGGAATGGGTTAAACAGTGTTGATCTGCTAATGTCAGATGTAATTATTAACATGTCTGGTAGATGGCAAAACTACTCTGGCGAATACTGGGACACATATTTGTTTTTGTACTGGCTCAATATAAGCCCAGTTCCTCGGCCCAGATCCAAGGATCAAGGATCAAAGAAACATTATTGTCACATGCAGCAGGTACAACTACAGTGAAGATTCAACTGCCCCGCCAATAAAAGTCAGCCAGGATGTGCAGCCAAACAGCCATGTAGCAAAAGCTGATGGTGGTTTATGGTTTTATAAAGAGATTAGAGCCTGTATGGGTTGGGGGAAAGAAGCTCCTTCTCAACCTCTCAGTTCTTGTGGCAACTGGAACAGACCATGATTAGGATGCTGTGAGTCTTTAATAATCTGGTCTGCTTTGGATCCTCACCGCCTGGTGTAGATGTCTTCAGGGGAAGGGAGGAGTAGTCCCTGTGGTGCGCTCAGTGCACCTTATGACCCTGTGCAACGTCCCAGTAAGAACAGTTGCTGAGCCAGTTATACAATCAGAGAGCATCGACTCAGTCGTAGGTGTGTAGGAAGGTTTTTGCAGGTTTTTTCTCACTAGCATAGTTGTGTGCATTGACCAAGTGAGGTCCTTTTGAAATGTACAAAACTAGATACTTATAACTGCTCACAGTCTCCATCTTAGTCCCATGTATCTCCAGTGGTACACACCGTGTCCTCTGCCTTTCTCTTCTGAAGTCCACCAACATCTCATATACTTTGTTTTGGAGAAATTCAGGTCCAGATTGTTGCTCATACACCACAATGCCTGCCCCTCCACCTTGCTTAAATAGGGAGCCTTGTCATTATCTTCAATCAGCCCTCCCACCACTGTGTCAGTGAATTTCAACAACAGTGTTGGAGCTGTGGGTGGCTGTACAATCGTGGGTGTGTACCGTGTCCGGCCCGCCTACAGCATGACTGTCAGATCCTACTCCCACATCTGCACCAATTCTATATATACAACCGGCCTGGCCACACCATACCTTCTTTAATCTACTCCCTTTTCTTGTTTTAGGTTTTGGAAAGGCTAAAGGCACCACCATCCAAATTCTTTATATACCTAGTATTGCTATGGGCTCATGCACACCCTCTCAAGAAGTGGACAAATCCAAAAGTTTGACAAGTGTGCCAGTATGGTTTCTAACCTATGATCGGACAATCACTGTCTGGGAGAGCGGTTTAGCAAATGGTCAATTATAAAAAATGAATTAATAATTGCTAACTAACCATATATATTATATGGTTATTATGTATATTTTACAATTCTATTGCAATTTTAAGTGTGACACCTGCATCAATTAGCATCATACAAAGAGTTAATCCTTAATCCTTTTAACCACCCCACTAATGAATATCAACACAAACTCAACACATAAAATACATGTTATTTATATGATAAAGATACAGTGGCCCTGAGAGCTCAACACACTGCAGCTTAACGAAGCACGTGTAAATAGACAAAACTCAAGCAAATTCAGAAAACATCTTCATCAACTGGACAACACAATCAAATAAACAAACGTGATGCTCTGATGATACTCACACTTGCATGGATGTATCATAAAATATATATATATATATATATATATATATAAACATATTCAGATGCCAGTTTATTAGGTACACCTAGTCTGAACAGTGAGCAGAGAGACAAAAAGAGAAAAGACAATATGGAATGTCTGTTGAAATAAAGGTAGTTTATCAGTGTATCTATGTGTGTTAAAGAAGGGTTCTTAACAAAAATGAAGGCAATTCAAAATAGCTCTGTTTTTATTGTTTTAATGATTTATTATCATTGACATGGGTGACACTTTACACATTTATTATTTGCTGATATGTTGCAAATAGTGCATTTTCTATGATCAAATGCATGGCAATTAGTCAACACAGAGAACACACCCAGTGCTAATTATCAGTATTGTTGAAGATAAAAGTAGTAAAAGAGGTCAAATGAGACTGTAAAAGATGGACAATCCAAGTTATGACACTTACGCTTGTCAGAATTCTTAGAAAATCATTTGCTTCAAAGGCACTGTATCAGAAAATAATATTCTCTGATGTGTGGTAACGTGCACTCAACCACTGAAATGATTGCCTCTATTACTGGCACAGTCGAGTGCTCTCAACAATCCCTGCCAGTAATAGTGATAACCATCTTTCCCTGGTTACTCCATAGTAAACAAAAATATTCTCAACAGCTTCTTTTCAATGAAACAAAATAAACGTTGTACAAAATAGTGGCGCTGTCTTTCATAGTGGCATTTCATGTCGTCTTATAGACCTTAAAAAAGGCATGAGGGCTACTCATTAATTCTTTTTCAAGACCAAAAATGGTTTAATGGTTAAGATCATTAAAGGAACATCCTTTAGTTTTCATGGACATGGACAGATCCATCTTGTTAATGTTTATCAAGTACCAACAATTGTGAAGGGTACTGCAGAGATCCGATTCTCATTTAGAACTGCATCGTTAAGACATCAGGCCATAAGGTTTTGGGGTTTTAGATAATTACGTTTTAATACTAAAATATGTTCTCAATACCTGCTTTTAGTATCATTTGATGACTTGCCCGTGTGCAAACTTAAAAATACATAAAAAAAGACATTCTGTATCTTTAAGTACAACATTGTCACTCTTAGCTTTCAGCTCGTGGACAATCACCAAGATTCAGGTTTGGAGACTTTTTCTTTCTTAGGGAAACTAAATAAATTTCTATGACACATTACACAAACACTTCCCAAGTACAGTGACAGTGAGATAAACATTAATATTAAAGAAAAAAAAAAAAAAAAAAAGAGGGCAAACCTCCCTTCACCCCCAGACAGAAACATTAACTCAAACCTTCTGTGGAATGACGTGGATTTCTATGACAACATTCAAATAAGTCACATCTAGCAGAACAGTGTATATCATTGAGCACCTGTGGCCGGCTGTGGTGCAGAGCAGCTGTACATGCATCACTATGAGGAACAAGTGGTTACAAAATATTTGCCAGTGTGCACACATGCAAGTGTAACTGTATGCATGTGGTTTTTTTTTCCTTTTCTTACAGCTGCCTTCACTAAGGAGTGTAAAAGCTCGATAGCACATTGTAAAGATAAACCGAGAGTTCAAGACAAGTGGAAGAAAAGCAAGGCAAAAGTGCAGTGACACAGATGTATACCCGAAAACCATGCAAACACACGCACGCACGCACGCACGCACGCGCACACACACACACACACACACACACACACACACACACACTGATTTAAGTTATTAATGACTTTTGAGTCACAGCAGAAAGATAGCACTTTGTTTTACAAGGCATTAAAACAACATTATCAGATACAAAGCAGTGAGGTTATTACGAAGAAGCACCCGAGAGACAGGGTGGTGAGGGAAATTACCAACAACGCTGAATTACATCCAGACCAGTTTAGTCTTAATACTTTAAATATTCTCCTGTCAGGCCTGGAGATATGAATATATAAATATAATTTCCTTTTTATTTTTCAAATCCTGAACCGACTAAACTGACCCTCCACACTTTGGTAGAGAATGAGAGCTTACACTTAAATTACAACTGGATACATTTTGGCCTTTCAACGAAAAAAACAACAAAAACAAGTAAGACAAGTCTGATAGTCACAACTTTGGCCTTGTGATCTGTGAGTCATGTTTAATGATCTTTGAGGTGATCTGTAAGACTTTAAATACAAACACACACTAAACTGATCAATAAAAAAAAAAAGAAAAAAAAAAGAAAGTCACACTGAAGGAGGCCTGCGATGGTGACATGTGACATAGTTGCGGTAAGAACAGGCTGACTAAATTCACATGTAATAGACGCTTAGGAAACAAATTCCCTATTCAAGCTTCAAATGATATTTCTTTCCATTTTTCCAATGGCAGGAAACGACTATGAGTCTGAATTGCAATGTTACTTTTAAGTTATTGTTTAAGAAAACTGGTATTTTTACTGGTTGATACATTTTTTTTTTTTTTTTTAAGTTTAACCACTGATGGCACACAGATGCACTCTACTGTAAACTATTTTTGGTACTTTTTAAATTATATTCCAAGTTTGTAGTAGTGGCATATATATCAGCTATAATTCTGTTGAATGATATCACTGCAAAATGCAAAAATACTATTGTTAGTTACAATGTCAGTGAAGATGCAACAAAATTATCAAAACTGCTAAATAAAGGTGAGAAAAGACACTATAAAGTGTTTGGATGAGTGACTAATTAACTGTAGACTTGTGAGTGTTTTACTTTTTCCATTTAGAACATATTTTATGATTCCATTGCATTCTGCCAACGCCATGTAAGTTTTGTGTAAAATGATATCAACCTGTGATTGTAGGAGCTGCCAGTGTTTTTGAAATGCTGCATCGACAATGCAGTGTAAGGTTTTTCCTCAAGGCAATGTATTCTTAGTAAATAAGTAAATAAGCTTACTATAGCAAGAAGGTAACTGGCCCAAAATTAAAGCAATATTTTGATATTTCAGGGAAATACGCATATTTGCTTTCTTGATAAAAGTTGAACATATTAATACCACACTCATGTTTGTATGCTAAATATGAAGCAAGAGCAAGCAATTAGCTTAGCTTGGCTGAAAGACTGGAAGCAAGGGGAAACGGCTAGGTTGGCTCTGTCAAATCTGTAAACCAGCACCTCTAAATTTTTACTAATTTACACGTTAAATGTTGTTTGTTTATTCCAACCATAAATGGAGGAATCTGACTTGACTTCAAACTTCACAGATGTATTGCTGAAGACCCGAGGAGGTGCAGTGTCGACGGAAGTTTTTTGGATGAGCGGGTCCTGGAGAAAGCTTCAAACATCACTTTTCTACATCTTACTTGACGTTAAGATGAAGGCAGAACTACACTACGAGGACATGTGCAGCACCCGGACAAGTTACAGCATGTTCATGCCAGAGTGTGATGGTCCTTTCTATGCCTTCTCCCAGACACTAATGGAGCGGAGCAGCCAACTCCAGCAGTAAACGAGACCGACTGACCACAAACCCTGCAGAGTGTCTTGCTCAGGACCCATGGAAGTGCACTTTTGAGTGAGAAGTTGTTTGGATGATGTGAACTGGATTAACGCACGCCAAGCAATCAGCTCCTACCAACAGGCACATTTTGAACAGGCACTGGACTAGTTGATACAAAAACCAAAATGTAAAAACAACAGTTTCATAGTTTTACAGGGAGTTGCAGGCTGGACCTGTCTCCCTCGGGCTACCTAACCAAGTCGGCTCTAGCTTTATTTTTAGCATACAAACTTGAGAGTAGTATCAATTTTGTAAAGTACCTTTTGAGAAAAAAGCATGTATGCGTATTTTCCAAAGAGTTTCCAGACTTTTCCGAAAACGATTCCTTTGAAACGAGTCAGCACATTGAACGGGAGAATCATCTGCTGTCTGATATTTGGCAACCTTTCTGTAGTGCTACATAAACTAAGTTGATGGAAGTCCCATGCTTAACTCTGAGGTTCTAGATTTTTTAGCATGTCTAGCAGAACCAAGGATGGAAACGACAACAATGTAATGTGGTCAAAATGGTGACTAGTTGAGAAATATGTAGTTGTGTTACGTTTAAGGAACAGTATGGTTGTAGGTGTTGTTAGCGTTTGAGACTAGTTTTGCTTCCTGAAACAAGATTGGGTAGTTCTCAAGTTCTCAAGGTTCAACATGAAAAAAAAAAACAAAAAAAAAAAACAAACCCATTGACAAAACTAAAAGGCACCTAGTAGAGTGCACACTGCCACCAAACACATGTCTCAAAAGAATGCAAGGTCCCAGAAGGGACAAAATATAAATTGGGTAATAGCAGGAATTCCAAATCTGTATCATTTAATTATCCAATCCTTCAACCAAGGACGGTGTTTCTATTTCAGCCCAATCCATTTTATTTTGTGTAAAATGTTCTAACAAATAGACTCCCCAACTTTGCTGGTGGAGCTAAAATAATGGGGACTTGCTCGGTCCTGTGCAAACAATGCAATATCCAGTGCTGTCTGTTTTTCAGTCTATGGCACCAATGACTGAGATGTTATGAATGAAAGATGGTATGGTTTTTGTTCTTTTAATTAAAATTTATAAAGTTCACTTTTGAACCACAATATGAAAAATATCCAGGAATCTCACAGTTTGAGAGACACTGGGAAAGCTGACATCTGTCCACTTCACATACGTAACAAGGCTGAACATGATGAATGATACATGCAGTACAAACACATACACCCAAACAAAAAAATTCTTTAGAAACAAAATGATAAAAAAAAAAAAAAAGAAAAAAGAAAAAAGAAGTACACAAGAAAAAGCAGAGGTGCTGTTTTTCAGTGTGTTCACCACAAGTTCTGCATGTTTAGGTAAGGCAAAGTAGAATTAAATGACAGTTTTAAGTGTTTTCCTTTTATCGGGTGGAGGGGGTGGGGGAGGGGGGGTGTGGGGGGTGTTACATTATGGCAAACTAGTGACAAGGGGCACCTGTGCACATGTTGGTCCTTGTGGAAGACTTGTGATCCATCTTGACCCGTTCTGTATTTTCTGGGGTTGTTCAGGTTCACGCCGCTTCGGGAGAGGAGTGGTTCGTCAGTCGTCAATGTCCTCATACACATTATCGTCAAAAGGCCGCGCCAAAGACGGCTGTATTCTGTGTCGGGAGTACTTGAGCTGAAGAAGGTCTCCTACCTCACTGATGACACTCAGAGCCTGTGGAGACATTTATACAATAAAAAAAAAACTGTCAACATGAAGGGCAATATGTGGCTCGAGCCAATTTAAAGCTGCAACAAGCAAGATTTTATGGAAAAAACACACCTGTCTGTTAAGATTAAGTCACAAACCTGCCCTAAAAACAGACAAGACCACTAACTTTAATGCTGCAGTTGGACCCAATATTTCATTCCTAATGCTTGGGTTTGAGGTGAAGTCACCAGTAGGATATCTTGTTAGGGCAGAGTTGGCAATGAGTTCATAGAGATATGCCATCTAAACAAATCTAAAGTGTTTGTTCAGTGCATTATTTCTGACTAATGAAATAATTAACTTTCTAGATTTCTGTATGGTTAACAATAACAAGAAGACGTGGGGACGACTAATGTGATGTTACAAAATACTAAAGCCAACATGTGACAGAGTTCTGCTGCTGCCTGGATTTGTAGAGAGCTTGTAGGCTCGTTGTGATGTTTTCAGTTACGAAACAGAGAAAAAAGGTTTTGGTGACTGACAGTTAACTTGCACAAGCTGTGTATGTATAGTGAGTGTGTGGTACAGCTCATACTTAGACTGAATATCATTACTTTTTATCCCATTTGGTGTTTCCGTCACCTGAAGATTGGGCTTTGTTGCATAATGCAAATAATTTTGACAGAAGCTTAAAGCTGCATTAATTAATTGTTTTTGGCCACTTGGAGGTGCAGTGTAAAAACAACACTGACGTATGATCACCTTTTAAACCTGATATGATGAATTTGGTCACTGATTTATTTTATTTATTTTTTTCTCAAACCAACATCTATGCAAAAACATCGACTGTGACGCCAGCGTCATTGTTCACATGCTTGCATATTTTGTGTGTGTCTGGCAGATTTAAAAGTGTGTCCACTAGGGGGCAGATTAGGGCCCGATCATCCGTGGCTTAAAACAGAACATCTTCCTTGTGAACTCCACTTATGTACGGCTTTAACAGAAACCATGACAACACAAAATTGTTGAGGTTGAGATCACGGCAGAGAAAATGGCTGTTGCGACAGCTCTCCTCAAAACTTTCTGACAATGATACAGAGATGCCCGACTGCTGCTCACCTTACTTTCTGATACTTCCACCACTAGTCATGTGCTAATTTGTGACTCATGGCTACATAGCATTCATTTATGAGGATGTGCAACACTCCCAAGGACTGAAGGCCATGTAAGGTTGCCATCATGTTTATGTGAATACGTACTTCAAATCAAGTTTATCAGTGAGCTTAGTACAACAACTCTTTAGCATTAATTTGGATTAGTATTACTGGCCGTCTGATGAATGTTACTACTTTTAGCTCTGTTTTAATCTCCACCAACTCCCTACAAAAACCTTCATAAGCTAGTTGCTAACTTTGTCTTTCTGCTGTTTGGTGCTGGGCAGGTCATGTCCTGCAGGTTTCTCAGAGCATTTTCACTGAAAACAGCTGCTATCTGCGACTAGAAATGACACTGACCAGAGTAAACCAAAAATGTTGGCAGGTTATAAAATACAAACAATAAACTGAAAGATGCTAAATTGCTTCAAAGAGTTGAGGGGATCTGCAGAGTCATGTGATCATTCTCTGTAGGTTTGTTACTTTCGATGAATGACCCCTTTCACTTTGCATGTAGTCATTTGATCCATTGTTAGTATAAAAAATAAGGATAAGGGCAGATTTAAGTTGATGCGTCTTCACATCTGTTTGTTGCACTATCTGCAAATCTGTGACATTCATCTCCATTCTTGTCCACCCATCGTCTTTGTATGCATTAATGCACCTGTCCTCACTTCTTTGATGTTGGTGTAGGTTAGTTAGGATTTGACATTTGTTTGAAGCTAGGATATTCATGTAGTCGATCACATGAAAGGTCTTAGGAAGGACAATAATAAAAGACTTAAGGTTTATTTGTATATGTGTGGGTGTGTGCGTGTGTGTAAAATGAGACGACAAAACTGTCAAAGCTCACCAGTAGGTAAAAGAAACACAAACCAAAATGACACATCAAAGTGTGAGGGAATGATACAAAGAGAAAGGCTAACAGAGGTGGGTTTTAACATCATGACAGATAAAAGCACTACAGCACTACAATACTCCCACTGCCTGTCCCCAGCTTATTTTATTTTATTTTTTCAAAGCACAAGAAGAAGAACAGGAGCCGATAACAGTCCCGAATAGACAGCACTTTGTGGGGACACAGTCTGCATCTGAGCCAGCTGAGCCTCGAGGACACCCGCGCGTGGGAGTTATCATTATATTCACATGCATGATTCAAGTGGGTAAATTCCCAATGAGAAACATGCCGTGTTTTGTCACATGGTGCAATGACAGTCACCTGAAGCTCAATATCAGCAAAACCAATGAGCTTATGGTTGACCACCAGAGGAACAGAAGGCCCCATGACCTGGTGGTCATCCAGGGAGAGGAAGTGAAGAAGTCAGTAAACTAGAGTTATGGCCTCATGGCTGTTTGCCTCTGCCGACCAGTCCAGTTATAGGAAATATGCTCACAATCTCCCTTTCTGTTCGTGAGTTATGGTGTTAAGTAATGGCCAGAGAAGTATTTTTGCAGAACATTATGATGTCACAGAGAAGTGAGACCTTTGACCGCTTGGATATAAAATATCATCACTTTATCAGTTTATCCTATTAGACACTTCCATTGATTCCACTTCTGGACCTTTGACCTAATCCTACCCTAACGGTAAAATGCTAACCCTCTCACCCCAACCCTAAAACCCTAACCGTCTAACCTTAACCCTCGCCCTAACCCTAAAACCTTAATCCTCTAAGCCTAACCCCAAACTCTTTAGAAGCCCTCTAACCCCCTAACCCCAAGCTTCTGACCTGTGACCTCCAACTTCTAATCAGTTCATCCTTGAGTCCAAACGAACATTCACCCAATAAGAAATTCCTTAAAGGTGTTCTTGAAATTCGACAACATAATGCCTCTATTCACAACCTTTGCTGGCATGGAGGCATAAAAAAGGACTTAAGACTGTGACTGGAAGAGGAAGAGCGGTGAGCTCGGCAGTGAGCTCATTTCAGTATAATAGAGGAGCCCTCGTTGAGAAGAGCGGGCAGCTTTTTGATGTGTTGCCAAGAGCAATCAAAGCTCTGCGCTTTTGTAGACTAACACAATGAATAAAGAGGGTGGCTGGAGTGGAGGTCTGAACTCTAAACACTTGGAATATGCTGTGAATGCACTGTGCATCAACCCGCAGAGTGATCCAGCTGATGCTTTACTGTCGCTGTTGCATGGAGTCACTTCAACTCCACTTCTCCTTAAACTCACATCATCCCAGAGTGATACACTTATAATGATGTCAGACGCAGCGAGAGACGGGAGAGATTCGGTGCATCTGAAGAGACCCAAAAGTATTCTCCACAAGCAGACACAAGAGATCCAACCTGTGTCCTCGCAATTAGAGACACTTTTCCACCCATTAGACTGCCCCTCTTCCCTTTAATGTCACTGTGATCTCTTGCTTAGTTTCTTGAAGGTCATTACAATAGCTTGGAACAGGAGGGCCCTAACTTTTTAGTAGGAGTATAACTTTAAACAAAAATCAGCCTCAGCTAGTAACAGCCAGTACCACTGCCTGCCAATTGTGGAATATTGGCATTTTGTACCCCACTCTCCCTTCTGGCAAATCAAGCTAACAAGCTACACACTAGAAAACTTTGACAAAAAAAAAAAAAAAAAAAAAAAAAAAAAAAAAACTTGATGTGTACACAAGTCTAGTAATTAGCCATGACCCCCTGGAACAAAACTTAGCAGAGGAACCAGTAAAGCTTACTGCAATTAAGGCTTGGGACTGACAATTCTGACTAATTAAAGAAAGTCTAGAAAGCCCAGAGAGTGTTTTTCACTGAATAATAATGGCTTCTTTCTACCGTGTGGGCAGAGCACAGTGAGATCTGGCTATGCATGACTAGTCACCATCAATACCCTTGCAATCTAAAAATACTTAAAAAGAAAAAAAAAAAAAAAAAGAAAGAAAAGAAAAAGAGAAACAATTCAGGTTTGGCTCCCATACAATGTGGTAAGCGTGCAGAAGCTGCATATCATTAGTTAGCAGAAGGAAATTTCACCAGTGAGACTTAACAGTCATGTTAGAGGCGTCCAAACATAGGAGAAGATTTTTGAAATGCTTGCTTCAACTATTAGTATCGATATGTTTTAATATCAATGATCTCAAATTAACATTTCATGGTTAAAAAGCCAGTTTTAAGTGAGAATTGTTTCTCATTTATCTAAAAGTTTGTCACTTAGTTTTGAAAGTGATTATTTACCCTGTTGAGCATGTCTCTTGTGTGGGCGGCTGAGATGCAGAAGCGAGCCCGGGACTCGATGATGGGCGTAGCAGGAAAGCCGACGACCACCACACCAATGTTCCTCTTCAGCATCTCCCTCCCAAACGCTCTGGAGGGGGGGGGGCAAACATGAGACACACAAAGCAAAAATGACTCAAGGACAATAACAACAACAATGTCCTATTCCATTCTTAACATATAGAAACTTCTACTGTTGTCGTCACGCCAACAGCAGCTGACCACGTAAACAGATACTCCTCAAGGAGTTACAGTTGGCTGGGGAGAGGATTGTGAGGGCTTCTGTTAACGTTATCTTCTATTTGTGTTTGAGTTGCATTTGTTATTGTGCTTGTAACATTGTTATATGTTCTATAAGCGACTAACGTGATGCTGCTTCACAATAAAAAAAATTCGGAACACAAAAGTGTCGGCTTAATATTGACCTTGAAACGAAATTACTCCGTTTGGTGAGTTTTACAATCCTGTGATTGGATGAACATAGGTAATTGATTAAATATATTAATTATTTATTGTCGCTCGAGTTAAGACTTTCTTCCAAAGGTCAGACTGAACTTTCACGCTTACTATTTACTATAGAACTGCTCAACAATAAACGAGTTACACAAACAAAAGCCTGATAACAATAATCATATTGATTGAAATGCTCCAGGTGGGAGTTGGTAGATACAGTCTCCTAGCAGCATCCAGTCAAAGCCGGTGGCTCACCCTATCTTGGCGGGCATGTAGAGCATCATGGGTACGACAGGAGAGTCGTTGTTGCCATAGATGATGAAGCCCATTTCTCGAAGCCTCTTGCGGAAATAGACTGTGTTCTCTGCCAGCTGTCGCACACGTTCACAGCCTGGAGGTGATGAGGAGAGATTTTGAAGAGTTGACAGCAAATACATTGCAAGTTAACCACACTCCTATCAAGTGTTTGAAAAGGATATATACCTTACGACATCACAATGTGCTGACCACTATTGTTACTCGGTCATTTACATGTGAACATGTTATGGACACAGTCTCTTAAGGATCTCAGTCAGATGTTACAATTAAACTGTAAATAATGTATGTTTTATCAGTGCTGATGTTATTAATGAACAATATTTATTCACTGTATTGAGCTGCACTGAATGTCCTTCATCTCAACTCAGTACAATTTACTACTGAAAGTTAGGAAAAAAAAAAAAAAAAAAAAAAAAAAACACTTGCTGAAAAAGATAAAAATGTATAAGAAGTGACAGAGTTTAACAAAGACTCCTCTCCTTTTCAAACATGTTTTTTCTTTACCAGATCTGATATCTTTGGTTGAAAAGAAAAGAAAGGAAATCAGCAAAGGGTGACGGTGCTTTGAAAAGATGAAAAAATGACAGTTGACAAGCAGCTGAAAACAATCACATTCATGAGATGAGTGTGTGAAAACATGTGAGTGTTACAGCATCCAGGCACCACGGGGAGATAAAGTTCTTAGTTTCTCTGTAATGTTTTTTCTTCTCCCACAGGAGATTTCTTCACTGGCTTCTTTGAAAAGCTGGGCTTGTATCAGACACAAAGCAACAAACTCTGTTTAGGGTGCACACAGATTTAGTTTCCCCAACTACTCGCAAAAACTATTGCACGCAGATTTTTGGAAAGACGCATGGAGATGATAGAGTCTATGTCAATATCAAAAATTAAAAACGCTTTTGGGTAAAAAGAAAGCAGCACAAAGGCTTGGATTAGCCAATCAAATGCCTTTAATGGTAAATGCTTTGCAGCTTAAGGACAGTATTATATGGCGGGGCTTGTATATGTTACACATTTTCTGTGATCCAATTTCACCAGCCCTCCACTTACACACTGATCTACAGCAGGTGAACACAGGTAAGTACAACTAACTACCGCCTTTAATGGGATCCAACTAACTACGTTTAGGTTTAGATCACAGATGTTTAGTTAAGTTAAGTTTGGCTCAGGATTGTGCTCGAGTTTACGGTTAGCCAGTCGCAGAGAAGGAGGTGGAATTGTGCCCAACCTGAGAGGATCAACTCAGGACAAAAAGACAGCAGAAATGTTTACTATATGAAATTTAGGACACTATTATCATTATTAAGAAAATAATAAGTCTAAAGAATCAAAAATGAGTTCCAGGCTTGCCACAGCTTCTACTCTCCTCTTTGCACAATAGCTGGAATTAGAGACAATAGTAGTTTGCACTGACACCTGGTGGCTAACGAGGAGCATTACAGCAACGAAGATTGAATTAATTCAACCAAATAAGTCCTGCAGTGAATATATTCACTATTTAGTGTTGATTTAAATATACTTATAATAATAATAATATACACATATTTCATTTAACTTAATTTCCTTATCAAGTTACCAAGTTCTTTGCATGATTCGCCTTCTTTGTACAATATTCTTTTCTCGTGTGACATGTTGCTTTGTGCAGGTTTGTCAGTCCTGGTCTATTTTCACTTCTAAGCTTTCAATGTATCTGTTATTCATTCACAGTCTTTGTTGCTGTCGGCTCCTTTATCCATCTACAGAGTAAAATCTTGACCTTGTAATAAGCTAACTCCACTAGATCTCTTTAATATGTGTTACATGTCAGACAGGGCCAAAGTGTTTGTTAGTTTTTCTTCCCTCCTGTCTCTCTCCTCCTCCCCGGTTTTCTCTCCAGGTACTAATCAGTCTGATTGGTGTCTGTTGCAGTTGAGTCATGCCTGTTCTTTGGTATCCTGGCTTCAAGTTGGCCTGTCATCATTCGGAGCTCCTCAATAAAAGCAATACTCCTGACGACTTCACTCGCTCTCACTCACTCTTCTCTCAGCTGAGCTAGTCTTGTACTGTGAGAGAAAACCTATTAGGAATATTAGAAAAAGGTAAGTGGTGGGATGTAGGACAGTAGGTAAGTTTGGAGGGGGTGCCATTTACATTTCAGTGTAATGTTAAAGCATGTCAAAACAATGTTAGGTGTTTTTAGAAGTTAATTAGGTTTGTTTTGTTTGTATTGTCCCATCCTCCCCCATATTTTGTTCATCTTTGTTAGATTTGTATTGAGATAACCTGAAAATAATTCCCTTAAATTTTCACTTCTACCCTGATTCCTTCAAACTCTTTGGTTGTCATGTTGAGTTTTCATCTCAACCAGGAGACGTGACACATAGATCTAACTTTAAATGGTATTGTTTCATCTGATAAGAGATTTTGTAGGAGGGGAGTTGAGCATTTGAAAAAACAAACATCTCTATGCTTTCATTACAATATAAACAAAAACATGAGCAGTTCTTAACCATTGATCCCTGTTATAAATCAGAATCCTTAGGAATCCCTTTTAAGAATGACTGTACAAATTAGCACCGGTGTACTGTGAAAGGCAGAGGACATGAGAGCCCAGTTAATAATTTTCTATTATGTGAAAATGGAAAAGGGTTTTGTTTAAGGCTGTCACAATATCAGATTTTTACTACAAGATTATCATGATTATCATAGCCAAAAGATTTCACGATAATAATTTTATCCTGACATCTATAGAAAATTAAAAAAAAGATAATAGGTAATAATAATAATAATGCTATCAGTCAAATTAATCTTTTACTTTGTTTATTGTCCGTTTTGTCCCTTTTTTTGGCAAATGAATAAGAGGAGCGTAGGGAGATGGAGAGAGTTTGTAACCATAACTGTACAAAAATGTCCATAAACAACAATTAAACTTGATGGTTAGTAAAAAGATGAACTGATGAACAAAAGCTCCACAAGGCCTAACATCTGTCATCACCATATTACAGTATATGATATAAACGTGTATTATTAACACAATATCGATATTTCATATTTTAAATATCACAGTTATTGTCAAAATCGTTATATATCGCAACACCCCTTGATTTATTACATTCAAAGAAAATTCAATATCGTATCACCAATTTGAACTCACCTATTGTTGTGCCATCCTCTCCCATAATGCACTTCATAGAAGTGATGATTTGCTCCACCACAGGAGGAGACATGGAGGTGGCATAGACTGCACTGTGAGAATGGGAGCGCAGGTACTCAATAAGCTCCTAAACCCAGTAGATACACAGGATGTGTAAGTAGATATGCATGAACAGCAATGCTTGTATTACTCTACAGCCCCTTCTACCTTGGAGGCTTTGGTATTCTTTGTAACTGAGACTTGGCACAGCTTACTTTAGATTTACTGCTTGCTTTACTCACTCAAATGAACAGTTGTCTGTAATCCTTCAATATAAAAAAAAACATGGAAAATACACTGTTTTGCACATTGTAAGAATATAAAGGGCTCAGACATTCAATGCAAACCTTTATGCAGTAAAGTAAGAAAATGTAGTTTTGATGAAAACAGATTTTTTTTCCTTCCACATATCCATATAGTAAGATTATATAGGCCTACATAATAAGAACTACCATCCCTCTTATGGTATAATTACAAAGTTTGAAAGGCATGCAGGTCATTAACATCATATTGTAAGTCATATCCTGCAACGTGATGACACATTCTTTGACTAGCGATTCATGCTTTATGTCAGTTTCCTTCCTTACACATCCCAGACATTCTTTTTTTTTTTTTTTTGAATATTTAGTTTATTAACGTCACCAAATCTAAGATGTCACAATCTTTTCAGCATTTCCTGGAAACAAAAATTGAAATCTTTTGAAATCAGGATTTGGTCTCGTTCTGATAGGCTGGTGTCATCACAATGATGTGCTGTGGAACAGGGCTAGTATGTCAGGAATGCAGCAGTGATAAACTGCAAGGCTGTAAGTCCACATTGCTGGGATGATGGGTGTCCTTTTTTTTTCCCCCAGAGTTTAAACTTTCCCACTTGACACTGTAATCTTCTACTTTTGAGGAGACGGCATTTATAGTATATATATATTATATATTATAGATTATACCATATATATATATATATAACGCAGTACATTTAACATCAGTGTTTAATTTACCCTGGGTTACTGAATTGGAAAACTATCTACTGTATATTTTAACTTGTGAGCTTGAATTTATCTTATGCTACAGTATCCATCTTTCTTCATAACTCTGAAATCTGAAAAATGCTCATAAAATAAACCCACAACTGTCCATTCTCACCCGTTTCCCTGCGATGTATCCCCCCGCAGCGCCAAAGCTCTTGGTAAATGTGCCCATCATGACATCCACATCACAGGGATCGAGGCCAAAGTAATCGACCACACCTCTCCCTCTCGGCCCCAGTGCCCCTATGCTGTGGGCCTCGTCTAGGTAAAGGTAAGCCCGGTAGCGCTTCTTCAGGGCAATCACTTCTGGCAGGCGGACTATACTGCCCTCCATGCTGCAGGGAGGAAAAGGCAAGCAGAATGCGTTTCAGTCAGTGTCAGGCAAATGTCACGGTGTGTTCATGTTAATTTCATTCCTGACAACCCAGGGAATTTGAGCTCAAGGGAGTACTGTCATCTGCTGAACAGACTTCATCTGAATGACAACCAGATATCAAGTATTATACTTCAAATATATTGTCACCAATGAAATGTATGACAGAAGTAATGATTTCACAGGTAAAAGCAGATTGCTCAGTGTAAAATTTACAGTTAAAAATAAATCACTTTATTTACTGATGCACAAAATCCGACGCTTGTGCAATTTCGTCAGGCAGTGTTCACTTGAAACTACGAGGGAAATCATGACACTTTAAAAAAGACTTGCTCTATTGTTTTGGCTAATGACACTTTTAGCACAGCCAACTGTTAATGCTGCAAAATCCAAATCCCTTTCAGTGTCCAAAAATATTTTATTGAAGCATCTATCTGATGAAGGAAAAAGGATGAACTACCTGTAAATGCCCTCCACCACTATGAGGATCTTCTTCCATGGTCTGTGAGTCCTGGGCTGCCCGTGAACTATGGCTTCTCTGAGCAGTTTCTCAAGGCTCTGCATATCTGACAGGAAAATCAAGAGGGCAGTACACTCAAAATGAAACTTGTGGTATCAACAGTGGCACAAAACTACTAGCAATTTGTGGTTAGCCTACACACTCGCCTACGCAGTTTCAATACATCCTCAAATAAAGAGTGGATATGCCTGCAACAACTGAATAGTGAGTGTTTTATTGAAAACATTATAATCAAATAACATAACATTCTTTCATGAAGTTGGCCTTACTCTTAGCACATTAGCTGTAGTTCAACTCTTCAGCAACCCCATATTTTTTTAATTTTTTTATTTATTTTTTTTTTTTACACCATTTGGTGAAATAATAATAAGCAGATTTGGTTTGTTTGTGTCTGTAGCTGGCAAGACAAATTACAAATTACTGAACTGACTAACAGGTAGAAATAGACAAGCTAGTTTGAAGTGCCTAGCTGAGGAGTTTGGGTTCGTTAGCAGGACGCTAATGGCAAATGTCACCACATATTTTTGTGTGTGAGAAAATGAGGTTTGTGTGTTACAGAAAAAGTGTTTACAGAGAGAAGATACAGTATGCTGAATGCCAATATGATTTTGTAACAGCATACAATCTGACTTATTTGAGGAAAAGCACAGGTGTTATTAATAACATGATAGCAATTTCTAATTAAATGTCTCAGTAAGCCATGACACGGTGACCGTGAGCTAGCATGAACCACATCAGGTTCCTGAAACTGAAGCAGCTAGATTTAGCCATGATTAAATTTTATTATTATTTTTGCTTTGCCAACTTTGACATGGAAAGATGTCTTGCACAAATAGACCTAATACTTTCAAAAAGTGATGTGGTAGCTTATATTTTTGTGAGTACCAAACACTTTGGCTGACTCCTAAAATGAAACTCAATCTGGCTCGGTCAGGTTTTTCAAAACACTGAAATTATGATCCGAGACTAAAACAGACAGACATAAAATGCAGAGCTAGCTCCCCACAGTGTGTGTGTGTGTACATTGTAATGTACCATACTTTCCACTATATAAACTAAAGTGATGAGACCAAATTACCACACAGTGGTGACACCGCATGTGGAAGAATACGTATAAGAAAAACATAATCGCTCCAAGTGCATTAATGATATGGGACAATAAAAGTACTAAGAGAAAGAAGCAATGAATGAAGACAAAGCGTAACCACTTGAAGTGAGGGACTGACAAACAGAGATAGACATGAGGATGCAGGTGGACAGAGAATTAACGGACCTATAAATGCATTTAAGAGTCAGATGACAGTAGAACCTATTTGTAATCACACTCACTGTTATGTTTGAAGACTCTTATGGTAGACCCAGAGAGTCTGGCTCCCAGCACCAGAGAGGCATGGTTCAGTTCATCACTCAGAATCAGACAGCCCTGCAGGACACCAGACCAACATTAATTAGCATAAATTATTCATACAAATGATTTTTTTTTTTTTTTTTTACCCATCCAAGGCAGTAGATAACATTACATCTACTGACCTACTTCAAAAATCAGTTTGGTACATATTTTCTTATTGATTGCATTGTTTGCTAGGGAAACCACTAAGCGACTACATTGATGATGGAAATGTGCAAACATTTTCACCTAAAGGTTTGCATAATTTCACAATCACGAAAAGAATTTAAAGCAGCAGTCTGACACTGATTCCACTCAACTGTGTCGTGAGGAGATCTACCTGCCAAACGACACAAGCAGCAACGTGACAAAACAGACTGGTCTGAACTGTTATTTTTTCCCCCTGACATGCAGTCAAGCTACTATTCACTTGTGCGAACAGGAAGAATTTCCTCCTGATATGACGCCAGAGGGTGGTTCTGTGTCTCTGTGCCTTTGGTGCTGCTGGTGACCTGTGATAGTGTGATGTTATGGAATGTTTCTGTCAGGGACTGTACCCAACAGTGCACACACAAAAGTGCTTGGTAGTTGACTTATTTCATCTTTGGAAATCATACATGAGTTCGCACTCCAATAAAAACTTACATTCGCATAATATAAAGAGAGGAAGTGATAGTGAGATAGAGGACAGAGGGAAAAAGGAAAATGTGCTGTGTCAACATACAGCATATCTGGCAGGGAAATAAGTAGGAAGCCTAAGAATAGAGATAAGAAATGTGTGCTGCAAGAATAAACCAGCTCTACCGAGGAACCACCGATCACTTGTGATCTTACCTTTCCAGCCAGCGCTGGTATGTTCATGGAGTTGGTTGCAAACCCCATCCCGAACGCCATAGCTGACTCCACGCCAAGGAACTTAGCCACCAGTTTCTCCATCTCCTCGTGTCTGTCCAGGTTGCCTGAGATGCAGACATACAGGAGGTCACCAAAAACACATACCAGTCAGAACCCTGAAAGATATACAGTGGTGTCAGTAAAGTTTTCAGACCCCTTCACTTTTTGCGTGATTTATTGTATCGTAAAAGGGTAAAACTGCCATTTTTGCACATCAATCTACACTCAATAACCCATTGTTACAAAGTGAAATTTTTCAAATTTCTTTGCAAATCTATTAAAAATGAAAAGCAGAAAATTCTCATTTACAAAATGACACTAAATTCAGTACTTCGTAGCGGCCCCTTTGGCAGCAGTTACAGCTTCAAGTCTTCTTGAGAAAGTCTCTACGAGCTCTGCACACGTGGATTTGGGCAGTTTATCCCACTCCTCCTGGCAGATCCTCTCAGGCACCGTCAAACTGAATGGGAAGCATCTGTGAACCGCCATCTTCAGATCTCCCACTGGGTTTAAGTCTGGGCTTTGGCTGGGCCACTCAGGGACAGTCACACACTTGTCCTGAAGCCACTCCAGTGTTTTTTTTTTTTTTTTTGCTGATTGCTTCAGGTCGTTGTTGTGCTGAACCGGTGCCCCAGTCTTAAAATAGCAATTTTATCCATTCAAAATCTACAAGACAATCAAGTGTGTACAGTGTAGGGGGTCGGAATACTTTCTGAAGTCACTGTACACTTTCACAGATTGTTCAGTAAACGTAATAAATATATAAGGGATATTTCAAGATGTTGGAAAATATGCTTATTTGCTTTCTAGATGAGATGAATGAGATGACAAGATTGATAACACTCCCATATCTATCCATTCAATATTAAGTGACAGCCAGGGGGATGGTTAGCTAAGCTTAGCATAAAGTCTAGAAGCAGGGGGAAACATGTTGCCTCTCTAACATTCAAAAATACCTCAGCACCTACCAGCACCTTGAAAGCTCTATAATTAACATCTTATTTATTTATGTATGTATGTCTGTATGTATGGATGTATGGATGGATACTTATCCCCTAAGGGAAATTAATGTGTCCATCAGCTCATTGTTGACAATAATAACAGTTAATAATAAATAAACAATAATAATTAAATTAGTCCACTTCCTTTGGCTGAGTTGTTGTATAGCCTGGAATTTATTTATTTAAAAAAAAAACATGACATGATATATCTTTATATTTTTTGTATGCAGAGATCCTACTGGAGTCTTGCTGTCAATGTTATATTTGGACAGGTAGCTGTTTCCCCCTGAGCTAAACTAACAAGCTGTGGCTTCATATTTTGTGTATAGACATAAGGGTAGTTCTTATGTCTGTTCTTATTTGACTTTAGCATAATACTGTATACCAAAAAGTTCAACTATTCATTTATGTTTCTGCTTCTGTATCTAAATAATGCCAGACAACTGCAATCTGTCAACACACAAGCATCATAAAACCTCCATGAGCTTTTGGAGTCAATCTGTCTCTCAGTGCTACATTACATGTCATCTAATATTTCCAGCTGACAGCTCTTATGGAGCACACCCTACTGCACTCTTTATCAAAACGTGGCCTGGCCACAGAGAGAGAGAGAGGCGTCAGTGTTTCTACTCTATCAGTAAATATCTGCTAACCAGATGGTCTACTTCGCTTCCTCCAGGCTCATCTGGATCTTGTCAGACTTGCTCTGCAGTCTGGCTTCATCTACAGATTATGTAAGTACATATAAACCCTTGAAGAGACATCTGTCTTCCAGATATTATTTTCAACAGATTTTTAAATCTTGATACTCTGGTAAATCCGGGAAGTTTTGGTCTTATTTATTACATAGGATCCTTTAAGACAATTACTATTATTTTTTAAATAACAGTATATTTTTCAGTCTTTGTGTTTTGATTATTCTTTTTATTTAAATATTTTCTTTTTTCTCCCCAATTTTTTTTTAATCAGTTTTTTTCTTGTCTTTCTTTAATTTGTAAATCCAGCCCATTTGGAAAAAAGGATAACTGATCCTTGATTGGCCTTTTCAGAGTATAAATAAAGATTAAGGCTTAAAGAAGCTATGTTGAGTTTTTGACCACTAGTAGCACCATGAAGCGATGTTTTTATGAGTGGGTTACCATTTTGTTTGCAATGTGCACCTGCACAAGTCAGCAAAGAGGGACACTAGTAGCTAACAAACATTGATGTAAAAATATACAATTTAAATTTAAAAAAAAAAAAAAAGGCTTTTAGAAAGAACTGGCTTGAACACCTTTGTTAGGGCTAAAGCTAAAACTATTAGTTTGAGTTCATTACTCAAAAAGTTAAACAGTCAAAAAAACCAAAACAATTCATTTATCATGCCAAAAAATGCTTTGTTTACTGTGGTGAATTAATCCCTCCACATTGCTCCAGTGACAGCAATAACAGTGGGTGTGTCTGGTGTGTGTGTGTGTGTGTGTGTGTGTGCGTGTTTGTACCAATCTCCTGCCTGGTGCTTGCAACTCCGACGCCATACTTCATGGTGACCTCAGCTGCAGAGTCAGCGCACGGACCTGTGTTCTCAGCGAAGCCGAGATAATTATACGAGCCCAAGTTAATCACATCCTGCACTACTCGACCCGTGTACCTGGGAGAGAGAGTCAGACAGAGGAAACAATCAATGAGAGGAAGCCAATGTTTCTGCAGGCTTACTGGTACAATTAATAGTAATGATCGGCAGAGCTAATTAAAAAACTAAATTGAAGTGAGAGTGAGAGGCTGGACTGCATGAAAGTCCTCTTTGTTTTTCCAGTCTTTCTGATCTCGAGCAGGATCGGCCATGCTGTTTGACGCAGCTGTCCCCTCATTTTTTCACTGGCACTCCATGCTCTCTGACTTTTTGCTTTTCCTTTCTTTTTGTCGCAGTGCATGACGTCTGACTTTACACACACGCACACGCACGCACGCACGCACACACACACACACACACACGGTGCGGCTGATCACTGTCTATCCTCACACACCAGTGATCATCGTCACTAGATACAAAGATATAAATCACAATGACGAACCACATATGAAAGTGGACTAATGCAGGAGGTAAGCGTTCTTTTCAAACTAGCTACAAATGTGGTCTTATCTCATCTACACTGGGGAGATAAGGTTCTCTGTGGTTACTGCTGTTGAGACTTTGGAAAATACACCTGGCTCATACTAGATTTGGGTAAACTGGTTTAAATAAACTACGTTGTGATGCACTGAATCACGTCCTTTGTTTCTGCATGTGGAAAAAATACTAAATAATTGGATTCTGAAACACAATATCACTACTAACAAGTCATACTATATACAATATAATGCAATCCAGTACACTAGACCTATGATAAATGCTTCATTTTCACATACAGTATGACGTACGTTTGGTTATGAATGTGTCCCAGAGGAGTTGATTTAACCGTGTGGTTATTTTTCTGGGATCAGATTCTGTGTTATACTGAACTGCATTGAACTGAACAGGTTTACCTAGTCCTGTCTTTCCCCCATGCATAACAGGAAAAGGGTAGAGTGTATCTGGGGGTGTTGTACAAATGTTTAATAAGTACTCCTATAAGTAATACTAAGAAACTCACAAACTGACCCAACAAAATAATAGAAAATAACAAAATCAAATAATTTCCAAAAAAAAAAAAAAATCATATTGCAATTATTTTGGCAGATGCTGCAATTGCGATATGAGATTTTGCATTTCATTTTCACTGAGAAAAATCTAAAAATAATGATGAAGTGATTTTTACTGGGGTCTGTACCAATAACCATATTCCCTTACATCTGAAGAATATGATTTGTAGGCCATAGCATCTTTGTAGCACCACAATGCTTCATTTATGGTATGCTGTGACCCATTTTACCTTCTTGCAGTTTTAAATGCAGCTACTACGATTTGGATATTGCACTAATATTACGATGAATTGTTCGGCCCTTATGCACAGATATGACATATATACAATAAGCTACTGTGGGCTCATATATCAACCTGGCTGATTAATCGACCTGGTTTTACCCTTAATCACCCCCGTTTTTCCTCATATAAGAGACCACATCCCGTCTGTTCTTTCACACAACACAACATTGTAAAATGGTGGTTTACACTGTTGTAGCTTATGGTCAGCTCTGGCCAGTGAGGAGTGTGTGTAACCCTGCTCACTGTTTTTGCTGTCTAGTAACATTTCCCAGTCCTTTGTCTAAACTGAAATATCTCACTTATCTTTGTGTTTGTAGGAGATAAGAATGTTACCACAGTTTCAACTAGACCTCGACTGGGACACTAACCACACAGTTGACTTGAATCTTTGCTATTTGTGGCCTCTGTCACTCTGACACTGTCTGAATACCTGGAGGCTAACGTGTACATTAACACATTGACAGCCTTGAATGACAAGGTGTGTCTTTCTCACTCAAAAGTCCAGTTGTAGTCGAGGGACGCTCTTTCCATCAGGTCCATTTTGGCCCCGGGGACGCTGCATATCGGCCTGTTCCAGTTGTCTCTGATCCGCATGTAGAGGTTTCTGGTGTAAAAGTTCTCAAAATCCTGGTAGAGTGGAACAAAGTCCTGGACAGGGGTGAACAAAGAGAACATAATGGGAGAGAGCAGAGACAGAACCGTGACCTGAATGTAGGAATTTCACCGTAAATCGTGCATGTTTGTTTTATGAGTTGAAAAACTAATAGTAACTTCAAAGACCTACATGCCACTCATACTTCTGGAAAGCTTAGCTGGAAGGAATTTCATCTCCAGAAATATAATCTGTAACACAACACATGACTGACTGAGGGAGTTCATTTTCCGTAGTTCTTTGAGAAAATATCTGTGGGATATCCTCGGGCTGATTTAACGACCCCCCTCCGCCCGCAACATCTACTCCACAAACTTCCTTTCTTCAACATAACCAAATACTTAAAACAATGGGCTTCACTATCAAACATTACATAACACTTCGAAAACAATCCGAGTGGCGAAGGACGTGTTCCAAAAGTGCTGATAAATCCACCATTAGATGTGCGTTGACAAAGAAATGCAACCTTAAGTGTGCACACAGCAAACCATTGTGGAGAAAAGCAATACCACATCAGGGAGAGAAATATTACACCAGCCGCACTGATTTTGCATGCGGGGCACACAAATCCATCTCAACTGCTAAGTGTTTCAGCATATACACAAGCACTTTTCGTCCAGTCTATTTCCTGTTTAGGATATGGTCACGGCGGACAAGATCATATCAAATGTATCCTTTTTTTTTTTTTTTGCAAAATACCAAAGCTTGAAGCAATACAGCTCCAGATGCTTGAAATATGAGAGCCTGTACTATAGCTCCTAATGTTTGGAAGCTTTGTGGTGTGCAAATATCACTTTGGCTCAGTCTGGTTAAGAAAATAACAAATGAATCAGGTTTATTTTTCCATTTGTTATCACTGCTGTTCCTCCGTTGAGTCACCAGGCAACATGTGCAGTAATTAGAGCTCGGCCCTATCAAATCAGTTTCATTCCACACCTGAAATGCATACTGCCTCCTGTTCCTTGACAGCAATTTTGCTCACAGCATTGTCACCGTGCGTCCGATAACAATGATAACATTCCAGTCATTATAAAAAGGGCACAGTTTGCTGACTGCACGACACATGCGTCTGCTTTTGGAAATTTGCTCAACAGCCGTCATTATAGGGAAACAAGCCGGGGTCATTACAAGACACATCAAACCTGTTCAGCTTTTCCCGACTTGCCTGATGACTTTTGTATACTCATTCCTGAATTTATTTTCTGGTTCAGTTGTGTATTTTTCCCCCCTATTCCTCTAAATTCCCATATTGTGTCTGTGGCTTCCTCTTACCCTTTGTTCGTCCTTCTCTCTGGCGATATAGCACCTTTCGATCTTCCAGTGACGGAGGAAGTCGCGGAGGTAGCCGAAGATGGTCAGGATGCCGTAGCCCATGTAGGTGAGTACTGCCACCAGCATGGGCGTCTCCTCAAAAGACTCAATGAAGGGCCGACTGTACAGGCTGCCATGATGGGAGGCCGCGTGGACCTAGGCAACACCGGAAACCAGCAAATGGAATGTACTGAAACGTCATCATCAGAAAACAACTCATAAAAACCACAATGAATGTTGAGATATGGCAATTAAGATAAGATAATTGAAGCTATTGCTTTGCCTGTTACTAATATATCAATTTAAGTCAGGATTAGCATTTATTTGTAGTAGCTCTAACAGTTTCCTAACCCCGTTATAGTGATTCAGAGATAATCAAATGAAGTGACACAGGTCAGGGTCAGATTTGGGTTCTTACAATGTTCTGTTTATGTTGAAACATGAAAACTATATAAATAATCTGCCAATAAGAAAACACTAAATATTAATTGCACCTCATTTATAATGAAGAAACATAATTACCTGGAGCCGTGGCTTATATGGCATGCAGACACTATATTCAGTTTGCTTTTGGGTTCGGTAAATAGTGCAAAGACAGTTTCACGTAGAAATAGTTAAAAGGAGCAAAATACAAACCCACTTTTACAAGTTAAGCATGTAGAAAAATAAATTATCTTCCCCATGAAAAACACATCTTCCCCACTAATGCCTTAACTGGAAAAAAAAAACTTGGTATTTGGAATATTCTTTATATAAATATACACCCTGATTTCCTGTGGCTTCCTCTCCTTTTGTTTTAATGAGAAAACACACTTTCTTGTTGTAGTTGGGTAATGTTTCTGTAACTTCCTCCAAGATGAATTATGCGCAGCCAAATTGAAGGTGGGAGTATGATAAGAACACTGTATTGAGTTCTGGTCAGTTGTACACTAGCTCTACAGGAAAGAAAACACTGTGTGACATGCCACAGAGGAAAGATTTGACTTCCAAATAAGGGAGGAACTGGCTGTGTTGATGGAAGATCTGTGCACTCAGCACTAAGTGATCAGCAATGCACTAATAAACTTTACATGTATCTATCTGTCCATAAAGAAAATTCAACTTTACACATCTATTCTCTCCATCTTTATAATAGGGCGGACAGAAACCCACTACTCACAGACGTTATGCAATTTGCTTTCCAGTCATGCTCGTCTCTGTGCTCATGGCTATTAGGCGCTACATGTGACCGGTCATGCCTCTCTCTCAAATACCTTACAGAGTAGCAGCGCTGACATCTGCATGAACTGTAATCAGCTGAGGTTCAGTCACCAGGCGCTCAGTCTCTTAGTGGACCAGTGCAGTTCAGCAGCAGGAACTGGCTTTTGTTTTGTGCACCACAATGTCTGGTGCTGAGAGTAACCTATCAGCACTGTATCTCTCGCCTTGTTTTACTTAAGAATCTCAAACTGCACATAACTATCATTACTTTGCTTTTGCCAACAGTTATCTCACTGAATTATTACTATCATGTTATGAGTGACATTGATTTCTCAGCCACTGTGGTGTAGGAGAAAGCTGCTTCAAAAAAAGTTTAAACAGAAACCCAGCTACCAGGAGAAATTTGAAGGAACTACTGTTCAACCTTTTCCTCCAATTTAGCAATGCAACATTCACACTCAAATTACTGTACCGCAACATATCAAGCGAGTCTAAATGCCCATGTGTGTGACAGCATCCAATCATGTAATCAGAGGGGACATGTTAATTGGGACAGTAACAGAGGGTGCACCCAAGGGTGGAAATTTCATTAGCGTCTTTGCAGTTTCACAGCATGCATGCAGTCTCAATGGACAACATTAACTGAACAGGTGCACTGGTTCAGCCTGTCCCTGCTCACTCTCTCGTAGCAAGTTCACTTTCTCAGTTGTAGAGAAAGTTACCCACTTCAAGAAAATGGAATTTTAACAAACTTTTACTGCCAGATTTCAATTTCAGTTCAATCTGAAATAGAAAGAAGCAGCCAATAATAAGTTTACACTAAAACACACTGCGCTCCCTCTAAGATAAACACACTATCATCTGATGAGATAAGTTGTCAACATACAAATGTATTGCTATCATCCAGGCAGAGACGTGAAGTGTCCCAAGTTGTCTGACTGGCTGTGATAGTATGTGCATCATGATATACTGTAGGATTATTTTCATGAATTGGTAGGAGTTATACTATCACCAGTTTATGCCTCTAATTACAGTCACAATATACGGCTAGAGCCAGATCTCTTCTGAAACTCGGCACACATATCATAAACTAAACAGGGTTATAATTCAATGCAATGTCAACTTTCAGAGTTGTGACACCCGCCTTTTTTCTTTTTTTTTTTAACAACCTTCCTCCTATGAAACCACCGAGGGGGGCGGTGGAGCTCAGTATGTACACATTCATAAAGTTGTGCTTTTAATGCATTCAGGTGATGCTTGGAGCAATTGTGATCAAGCCGAATTAAAAAACGTCTTGAAATGATTCAGAGAGAGCTTTTGATCTATGTTTTAAAGAAGAATATAACATTACGAATGATCGAAAACTCTTTAATCTAAAATCTTTTTTATGGAGTTTGGTCTGTCTAGATGAGAACAAACTGTCATGAGATTATCAGAAGCCGGACTCGTCAGCGCATTAAAAAGTCTATCTTGTCATATCAAAATAATGCACGAGTATATGAAATGACAATAACTGTCCGGGTGTTTCCGGGTCCACACAGTAGATGCTTCCCCTGCTTCACCAGCCTCTCCTCCCCCGTCCCATCCCGGGCCTCACCTCCTCCTCCTCGGGGTGGCAGTGGTGCTTGTGCTGCCGCTCATGGCAGCGGTGCAGGCTCTTCACCAAGCCGTTACTCTCCGGTTTCAGTCCGTTCTTCACGCGGTGACACACTTCCCCATCGGCTGGCTTGGTCGCGGGGCTTTCAGTCATTGCTGGCCAACGATTGTGGAGCCGCGACGGTAACTTGCATGTAGGAACACGGAGCTTGCCTGCGGTGCAAAGCGGTGACAGTGTCCGAGCAGGGGACGTTCACAGCCACACTACAAACTCTCTCACACCCTCGCTCACACATGCAACACGCACACGCACACTCACATGCAACACACACACATACACACTCACACACATTACCCACACACGGTGAAACCTGAAAATCCAGACATTAAATACCGGAAATCAACGCCCATAAGTCACATCGGAGCCTGCAAGAGGGGGCGGGGCAACGCCGTCACGTATACTAAAGGGCGGGGCTTAATGTACGTGAACTTGATTCACTTTTAATAATGTTTATGGCACTTTCAAGTGTGAAGAAATAAGCTGTAATAATAGGAAAATAAATAAATAAAATTAAATCTCATGAGACATATAATGCATTTTAGAAAATCAACAGCAAAAGTTAACTGCATAGCAGATACTTTGACTTGACTAATTAAGTCAGTTAAAATCATGAAGGAATCACAAAGAAAATTAAAGGACATTATGTAATTAAGTCTTGAAATTCTCAATATTTAAAATTAAAGTCCAAAATTTCACACTGACTCAAAATACGTTCTTGTTGAAAATAAAATAGAATTTATTATGTGTAGTGCCTTTAAAAAAGGCAACAAGCCAACAAAAGCTAATATTCAAAAATAACAATGAGGTCAAATAAATGCATGACAAGAATCAAGATAACTGAATAATAAAGGGAATCACATACTGTAGAAGTATGTAGTGACATTGGAATAAAAGTAACATTTTCATAGAGTAGTATCTCACAAATATTATATTCTTGTTGAATATATGTTCTCAGGTGTGATATTTGCTTATAATCAATTAGTGATGTGAATTGATAGCTATGCTAAGATATATATCTGCACATGTGGTGTATTCATATCAATTATGTGAAGTATTAATGAATTGTAGGTAGTGGTTTTAAGAAAAAAAAATGTTGTCTTGAGTGTGACACTGTAAGCATGAAGATGCTCACCAGCTGAACCACAGCATCTATATTGTATGTAGACTAGGGTACAGTATAGATAAGCGCAAGGGTATCAGTCTCACAGAATCATGTGGTGAAAGTTTCTTTCTAGACTCACCTCTTTGCACTCTGGACAAGACACATTTACAGCACTTAAACTTAAGTAAGGCATTGAATCATAAGTTGACCTTCATCCATCTTTATAATTACTGTAATAAATATCACTGTTTTTGCCATAATTTTGGTTTCACTGCAGTCACAGCAGAACTCTTAATTTTTTGTAGAAGTCCCAGTTTAGCTGCTCCCTCTAGTGGCTTGAAGTTGTAGTGTAACCAACACATGTGCTACTATATAGAGGAGGGGTATCACATCTGTAACTCCTGTAGTATTTAGCTGATCAGAAGACCTGCAGACATGATAAAGGGCTGGGGCAAAGTAGTGTGGCGAACAGTGAAACTAACATACCCCATGTTAGTTTGGGGTTGGTATTTTACCAATATTATAAATACTATTTCTTTGGGCTGAATATAAAGCTTGACGAACTATTTCTCATATCGAAAACAGAGAGCCTCTCAGGACGTCTCTGACAGGAGATTTGCAACAAAAACAGTAGGTTGCCAGTTTCATTGTGAAAGTATTATACAATAATATACAGTTCTAAGATGCTTGCAATGCAGAATGTTTCAAGTAATTACCTCTGAAATATGAGCAGATTACCAGGGTTTTGGTCAGTTTTACTATTGTATGTTGTTACTAACGCAAATAAACCAAGGTTCAATAACTTAGACTCAATTATCACTTACCATTTATTTCTGTTTTATGTCCTTTTATGTTGTATAATGTTGTAAAAACTCATAGTTAAGCTTCACATGGTGGTATGTGGAGAAAAGAGGGCTGAGATATACAGAGATTACAGATTTTCTTAAATGTGTTACCACTTAACCAGGGAAGGAGGCCAGGTGTTTGGCCAGGTGTTTGTGCTACACTTCTGAAGGGCGGCTGCATATGGCAACAATGAGAAACAGGACCTTCTAATCTAAAAACCCTCAAGTTCAGGTGGAATTTATTTTGGCATTGGTGATGGATCATTTATTATTTTTGGTTTATGATAATCATGTGTGCATATCTGTGTTCTTGTTTTGTGAGAGTCAGAGTTTAATGGGCAATTTAAAAACATACTGATGACTGAATGCAGATAATGCCTAGTTTAGTTGAGCCAGAGTTTAAAAATAATTTCAATTGAAAAGCAGTTGTTGAAAACTTGGGCAGCTCTAACCCCCCCGCCCCCCCACCCCCCTTAGAGTCTTTAAGTTTCCTAAGTTATGTTTTCTTTCCAAAATGTTTATCTTGAAAATGTATCAGTATCATTTGAATTGAAGGGAACATGTGGGCCTCACACATGTATCCCATAATAGCTGATGTTTAGTCCATTGTAGCCTAGTAACCATTATTAACTTCAGGCGCCCAAATCAGTCAGCTGATGAAAAAAAGTGTACGGTAAAATCCGTTTCTATGGAACCAGGCTTGAACCAAAAACTGCAGAATCAGAAGTCATCGGGCAAATATGTTCTGAAGAGAACCCTCAAAATCCTTGTGTACTCGTGATGCCGCATCTTAGACTGACACTGACCTCTGGAAATAGTATAAAAAGCCTACAGGAGCAAAACCATGACTCTGCATTTCAAATCAAATTAAACAAGGTAAATAAATAAATAATTCACTGGTTGCTTTTCAGGAAACGAGATCGCCGACAGGTAAGAAAATAAAAAACAAAAAAGAGAGAAAATAAGACTTAGACTCAATAATAGGACAAACCATTTGTTTTCCTTATTAACAATTAACAATATGCAAGATGTCTGACTTTTGCCTAAATTGGTGTGTTTTTTTTGGGGTTTTAAGAACATCATGAGACCTTCAGTGGTGCTCTTTTATTTCCTCCTCATTATGAGTGAAGGCTTTGAAACGAGCAACAAACCCCGCAGGAGTGTTTCCTTTCAAGGTAAGACATCTACTGTAGATCAGCATGAGACGGGCATCACATCTGAAATGACACGGTTTCATTATATGAACTGTAGACTGCACATTATCTCAACATACAGATAATATGATGTACATATAATTACATATAGACTGTAGATTGTACACACTACATACCAACAGTCAAACTCGGCTGTTAACACTGAGTATACATATTAATCCACATAGATAAAACGTTGCCTAAATGACATTATAGCGAAACAAATCAAACAAATTCAGGAATAGTTCAAATTACAACATGCAGCAGGAATAAAGAACACTCAGTGTAATTAAAAAACAACAAAACCAAACAGTCTGTGTGCAGCTTAAATGATACAGGCAATGTTGTATGAAAATAAGATAATGAACAACAGAGCAGTGTTAAAACACATGGATGTGAAAAGTAGCCTCCTGTCCTTTGTCTGCTTTAGAAATGAATGTGAAGCAGTTTGAAGAGTCTGGCTTTGGCGGTTTGAGCTCTTTGATGATAAGAGACGACATTCGTCAGCTTGTCGTCGGAGCCAGAGGGAAAGTGCTCACTCTCAGCTTGGATGACATCACCAAGAAGACCAGTGAGGTAAGACATTTAGGACTGACCGAGCTGCTGCTTCCTGACTCTTTCAGGACCAGTGTAATCGTGACTTACAGTGGAAGGAATGGAGGGAATTAGTCTTGGAGTTTCACATACTGAAACACAAAAACCGTGTTAGTCTAACCTCGACCCATAGAAAAAGTCCTTCATTAAGAGTAGTGTTTCCCTACAGGACCTCGATGACAAAAGACATGAAAAAGTTGCGGTTTGTTTACTCATAGAACAAATAACCCAGACTGGCTCCTCAAATTTAAGTAAGTAAAGTTAGTTCAAAGCTCTCAAGTGAAACAAATAGCCTTGGGAAATGTAATGTAGCATGTAAGAAACATACAGCGCTCTACATAACAAAGAAAACAAAGACGACCTGTTGCAATAAGAGGAAAGCAACATAGTCATTCTTAAAAGCTGTTTTGTATTTTCTTAAAATGACTATTTATTAAGCTATTTTCTAGTACTACAAAGCACCCTTTACATTTCCGAACAGTATAAACCCAAGAAAAGTTAAGAAAAGTGCTATATAAAGTTTATTATTATATATAAGGGCTTCTCTGTCATCACTAATTCCCTTTTCTTCTAGGCCAAATGGTCGGTCAGCTCAGCAGACAAAGCCCTTTGTCGAATGAAAGGCAAGGACATGAAGGTACAGTAAGAAGTGAATAATCAGTGAGTGTCATCAGTATCTAACATTTCATCCAGTGTAACTCATTACATTTGTTCTTCTTACAGGATTGTGATAACTTCATCCGGATGCTACACACAATGAAAGATGGTAAAATGCTTGTGTGTGGGACGAACGCTTTCAACCCTGCATGTGACCACGTAGTAAGTGACTATATTTCCCAAGTTTCCACAGCCACCAAATGCAGCTGCTGTCTTATGCTGCTGTGTGTGTTTCAGTTAGTATCCAGTGTGAGACAAGGGGATACTAGAACCAACTGATGTGAATATTAAAAATGAGAAAAAGATTAAATTAACAAATCAATTATTGAATTTTTCTTTTTGTCTAAGTATATTATTGAATAGCTGGAAGCAGAGGGTACAGAAACTACGTGCAATATTCTTGTTGTTGATGTTTTTTTAATATAATTGTGTAGCTTTAAAGGGTGGAAAGTATTCATGAATTTAAAGGAATAGTTTATCATTTTAAATAAAATATGCTTTTACACCTATTAACACTCTCATGTCTGTATGGTAAATATGTCGCTAGTCTTCAAACTAAGCTAAGCTAACTATCTCATTGCTGTAGCTTTATATTTCCCATACAAGCATATGAGTGGTATCGATCTTCTTATCTATCCCTTGACAAGAGAGTGTATTTTCCAAAATGCTGAACTATTCCTTCCTGTAAAAAAAAAAAAATCCCCTTCAACAGATTTTCAAAAATGGAAAACTCTCCCTGGAAGGAAAGAAGCAGGTGGGAAAGGGAAAAGTTCCTTTTGACCCTTACGAGCGCTTTGCTTCTCTTATGAATGGTGAGTTAACGACTGTTTACAGATTCGACAATTTCTCAACATTTCCTTTCTCTTTTGCCACAGCTGTTCTCCTCAGATAAACATCTGGCTGTCCACTGAGCTTGGATTGGGGTTTAACAGCACTAACGACACACCACTGTTTCCTCTCTACTTGACAGGAAACACTTTGTACTCGGCCGTTTCCTCCAACTTTCTAGGCACAGAAGTGCTGTTTCAGCGCCACGGACTGAACCTTCTCAAGACTGAAATGAAACGTTCCTGGTTCAACGGTGAGCTGCTGAGACAGACCATCATAATCTTTTCATAACGCCACATGCTTCAGTGTATTGTTTCAAATCTTCATGTGATCTCCTGTTGCTAATGGTTTGTTACAGAGCCTACGATGATTTCCATAAGCCTCGTTGAAACCAGTAGAAACAGCGACAACGGTGAAGACGACAATGTTTTCTTGTTCTTTACTGAGAGCGCTGTGGAGGAACGTCATGACAACATCCGAGTATCAAGGATCGCCCGTGTGTGCAAGGTGTGCAATCTCACACGCCTGCACCTGCTGACGTCATATGCTTCATATTCATATTGAATGTGTGTGTTGTTTTAGAGTGACCTGGGGGGTGAAAGGACTCTGCAGAAAAGGTGGACTTCTTTCTTGAAGGCCCGCCTGGATTGTCAGTTTGGCGATGGAGGCTTACCTACTCTTGTCCAAGATGTCTTCCTTCTCCGAGACCTAAATAACGAGAGCATCTTCTACGCCACGCTCACCTCCGGCTCGTAAGTTGCGTGTTTCCGCAGTAGGTAGTAGCTGATTAGTATTATAACACACAAATACGTTATACATACCATGGGGGTAGAGAATAACAGGAAATCTTCTCTGTATCCGTCACAGGGAGTCCTCAGGTGGATGCAGCAAGTCCGCCGTCTGTGCCTACAAGCTGTCAGACATCACTCAGGTGTTTAGTGGGAGGTTTCTGACTGAGAGGGAGAGTGGTCGTTGGGACACATACACAGGAGAGGAGCCATTCCCCCACCCTGGTTCAGTAAGTATCGATACAAGATGGAGTGAAATCTAATCATTAATAGGGTCCTTTCATTGTGACACCTTTATAATCCAACTATTCTTATTTCCATAGTGCATTAACGATGAAATGCGGGCCAATGGTGTAACGACCTCTCTCGACCTCTCCGACAAAACCCTGCTGTTTGTAAAGAACCATCCTCTGATGGAGGGGGTGGTTGCACCGATGACTGGCAAGCCTCTGCTGGTCCAGACAGGGACACGCTTTTCTAAAATTATCGTGGACCAAGTCACGTCACTGGATGGACGACAGCATCAGGTTATGCTCATCGGCACAGGTATGCAGCTACACGCAAATATCACGGGAGATATATTGACAGATGAACTCCCAGTTGAGTCATGCTTCTCTCCCTCAGACTCTGGTTGGCTGCAGAAGGCGGTGAGGTTTGACGGCGAGGACGTCCGCGTCATCGAGGAGCTGCAGCTGTTTCGCGCTCCGCAGCCCATTGACTTCCTCCAGCTCGCCTCAAAAACAGTAAGGCCCATTTTACTAGTGTTGTTTTCATAATGCAAAACCAAGGCGGTGAAATGCCTTGCAGGGCGACAGCTCTAAACTGTGTTGTATTTCTGTAGGGCCAGCTATACAGCGGCACCAGTAACATTGCTGTTCAGGTTGACGTAAGGGACTGCAGCCGCTACACATCCTGCAACGACTGCCTCCTCTCCAGAGACCCCTACTGTGGCTGGGACAAGATCAGAGGCCAGTGTGGATCTGTAGTTGGCGCATCAACTGGGTCCATGTGAGTCAGAGCTCCTGATGATGTTTTACTTATGAGAACATGTTTTTTTTTAAGTTCTGTGGTTTGGGCTTCAATCTGAGAGAGGTATTTCTTCTTGAAGGATTCAAAGTCTCAGTGATGGAGACATCACGATGTGCCCGACCTCTGGCTGTAAGTTAATTTCCATATCTTAAATTACAAGCTAGCACAAAAATAGGTCATGCATATTACCCATTTACTGTATCTCCATGCAGATCTTTGGTTACATTTACATTAACAAAATAGTAGTAGTATATTTCAGACATTCACCATTCATTCTTGATCTCCTCTTCAGTGAAAAAGAAACCTGCCGTTGTCCACATAACTGTTGGGATTGCACAGTTCCTCTCATGTTCCCCTAGCACCAACCTCCCAATCAGCTGGCGCTTCTCTGACAACATCCTTCCTCCGGGTCCCCGACACACTGTGCTCAGACAAGGTCTCATCATCAGACCCTCCTATTCTGATGCGGGGTTTTATACATGTGAAACGGTGGAAACAGTGAAGGGAAAAGTGCACCGGGAGACTGTGGTCCGGTACCTCGTCCGGGTTCAAGACACTAACACTCTTGTCAGGAGTCTGAAGGCAGCTGCGATCACCTTGGCGCTTTTGGTCGTCTCGCTGATACTGATTATGTGCCGTCGTATCATATGCCTGAAGGCAAAGAAGCAAAACAACATTGATTGTGGCAACGAAAACAGCAACAACAATCAAGAGACTACTGTGAGGCCTCCCTTTCATCATGACCAGACCGAGGATAGATGCACGGATGAAGGTCGGGTTCAGTGTGGTCATGGGAGTGATGATGTCACATAGGAGGAGACTGGGAGTGTTACATCTATACAAAGTCTCTGACTTATACTCATTCTGTGGTATCGCATTTATCTTTCAATAAACGCAAAGAATAAAAAATAATATTTAGTTACATGGTCATTCGGTTTTCAAACTCAAGATAGAGAAACATAAGGTTAGTCTCTGACCTCCAAATACTTTAATGACCCATAATGTGCCTCCAGTTTTAGCTCCTGTCTGTAGTTTCACTCATTTTTATGCCTCCATACTGTTTTTGGGTTGTCCGTCCGTCTGTCCATCCGTCCCATTCTCGTGGACACAGTATCTCAGCAACGCCTCGACGGAACAAATTTGGCACAAACATTCACCTGAACTCAAGTATGTTCTGATTTGATTTTGGTGGTCAAAGGTCAAAGGTCAAGGTCACAGTGACCTCACAAAACGTGGTTTTGGCCTTGTGAATGCAATATTTCCGTAACGCCTTGGGGGAATTTCTTCAAATTGGGTACAACTGTTCACTTGGACTCAAGGATGAAATGATTCAATTTTGGTGGTCAAAGGTCAAGGTCACTGTGACCCCACAAAAATTTACTTTGTCGCATATGCCTATGGGTCTTTCTCTTGGCATTTTGACTTGCCATGGCAGGGAAAGCTCAGGTGTAGCTAATGAAATTAAGGATGTTGATGATAATATTGTAATAATGTAATCTTTTCTATTCAAATGCACAATAAGCCATTTCATTGAATCAGCATACACAGCGCCACACTGGCACATCTAAATGAAAGTGTGTGTTATCTGTCTTAATGAATACACTTGTGCTTTTTCAGCTGTGACAACAGGCGACAAACCTGGGCGCCAGGACTGAATGGGCATTAAAGCGGTGCGTTAGATAAGCCCTTTTGTCTCTGTCTGTCTCTTTACTCGCTGTGGAGTTGTTGAGGTTTTGGTGGTCATATTGTGTGCTGTACCATGTTTGACTGGATACTGTTGTTACAGCTGCGGTCTATAGGTGTTTTATTGGTTGTTCAGCCACTAGCTGGGCTCTGCCAGTGGCTTTGTTGTTGCGCTGTATAATTAGTCATTAGCTACAGCCCTAACTGGAGGCTTTATAGGCTTATTTATGTGTGGCAAACATGTAGATGTATTTGACACATGCACAGATACTTCTTGATGTGAACGTAAATTTTTAAATCTGTGAGCTTGTTTGGAATTCAGTCTTTTCAGTATTCATTACGGATCAGAGTCTAAGCTTTATGGTCTATATTTTTGTATGGCACTATGGAGATTCCACACACTATCCTTTGCTCCCGCAATGATTTTCTTATCTGTCACAGTACAGCAGTGTATACCCAGAAGATTCTATATGTCCTTACAGGATGGAGTTGTTCAGTTGTCATAAGATGGTTTAGTTGTTATCAAGTGACAAATTAATCTTTAGAGGTCCCATATTTTACACTTTTATTACACTTTTATGTGTTTTATTGTATAAGACGATATATTTGTGGTTTTTAGAACCAAAAACCATCTCAGAGTGATCGAATAAAAATATAGCAGATTTCAGGTAAACACTCAGAGAAACCAAATCCTGCAAGGCTGGATGGTGGGTCCAGGTGGGTGGGACTTGGGGGATGGCTGAGAGTTTTGTTGTGACATCACCAAGCTACAGAAGTCTTGACGGCTTGTTTTAAGGCTCAGTGTTTGAATACAGGCTGTGTGTATTTCTCTGTGGACTGAGTGCTGATACTTACTCAGTATTAATATAGAATCTAGACTTGCTTTATAATAAAAAAAAGACATGGACATCTACCTTTATACAATATGGGACTTTTAAATCATATGTAGGTCAATATGTAAATCTCATATCTATGATATTTGCCCTGTTTCTTCATGATTTTTTCTAAACAGCATTCTTAAAATTACCAATCTAATGTTATACAAAGGAATACTTTTTATGAGGAAGATTTTTATAAGTAGTAAAAATACACACACTTGACACAGTTTATGTCTTATTCCTTTAGAGGACCTGTTTTACTCCACTGCCTAAATCAACCTTTAGTTTCAGAGCTACTTTAACTGGCCCCAATCTGGCCCTTGTGGTTCATATTGGTCAGGCCAGGCACTGGTGACATCAAAAGGCAGAACAGTAGCAAAATGTTGTGTCGCACTGTCAGATAAGGAGCGAGTCTGGACTTATTAACCAGGTCAAGGACATGATGAGACACATAAGGAAACAGCTAAGGGGGAAAGAAGGTGTGTTTATGCAGTTGGCAACAGGTGTGTGGAGCATGAGATGAACACTGAGCCCACATGTTCACACGCAGAGGTGAGCACATCTTCAATTTTTTTATCTTTAAAAAAAAAAAAATCCACTATGGCAGTCTGCTGCATCATCACATCAGCTGAACTGTGAACTGTGGGTTATTGCAATAAACTGTAAATGGCAAGTGGGAGCTACAGACCATGTTCACCCAGAATGTGAAGCTGTATTTTCTGACAGTTTTCAGACTAGCCTGAGTTTAATACTTAGAGTTTCAGTGAGGTCTTGGTAGACCACATACAGTACAGCTAAGAACTATGGGTACACAGTACAGTAGTAGATACCCATTTCACTTACAGAATACAGACACTGTGCCTCGTTCTACAAGAAAAACATAGAGATGGTTACAATAATGTTCCGATACAGAAATATCCTGCTGTAAATTTGCACACACAGACATATTTATAAGACGATGTGCCAAAAATGTGAGTCTTTAAAATCTGTGCTCCACATTCGTTGTATGTGGAGAAGCTGTGTGTGTTTTATCAGCAGCTGCTGAGAAAATGTGGGAGGAAAGAGATACAACATTAGTTTTTTAAAATGGCCTTGTACTGAGCTCTGTGGTAATGGTATAATTAGTTCTCATGGGAGGGAATCTGCTCTCCGACTATCTGCCGGTTCTCCCTCTTTACTCTCCTCCCATGTGCCTTTCTCTTTCTCTGCCCTGTCTCTCCTTCAGTCCCTTATCCCTCTATTCCTCTGCCCCTCATTGTCTTTCTTTCCCTGTCTCTAAGGTAGAGGTGTGCCAGGAATAGTTCTTTTTTCCTTTGGGAGTGTTTTGAGGAAAGTAAAGAGGAGGAGAGGATGAATGAGAGTAAAATTTGAGAATATGAACTTTGAAATCTGAAGAAGAGAGGCAACAAGAAGAGGAAATTAAAGACACCAAGTTGTTCAAAAATAGAAAAAAAAAATCAAAAATAGATGCAGTTAATTGACATTACACACATACACATACACACTGTGAACATGCACACACTCACATATTACTACGGACTACCCAGTTTGATCCAGTTCTGAGTATGTTGGTGTTTTGGCCCAGAGGCTGGGAAGCAACATTCAATCAATACAAGCTTTGAAGGAAGATACCTGCACCAAAAATATTAAAAGTGAACCTGCTGGCAGCCGCTTCTGCTGCTATTCACTGTCTTTAATTTTGACCCTTTTAAAAAAAAAAAAATACGAAAGATCACGAAAGACTCCAGGCACTGACATTGACGACCAGTGTAATATTGATTGGACATTAATCATGTATAGCCTTCAGTCATAAGGGAAAGAAGATGAGAGAGGGAGAAGCTGTGTAAACCTTTATTTCTACAAATAAAATTTTGTACAAAAGAAAAGAAGAGGTAAGCTGTTTCCAAATTTATGAACAATTTTAGGCCTTTTAGGTTTGGTTTTCACAGTAAAAGTCAATTGCTTTTTGGCCTGTTACTTCCCTCAGTGAATTTGACTTGAATTTAATTTTTGTGTTTGACACAGAAAAGGAATAACAAAAATACTATTTCTAGTAATAGGCGCACATCCATTTTTGAGGGATATCACATGTTGCCACAAGGTGGCAGTCATGTATAACTAATAAGTCACAGTTTCAGCACAGGCTCTAAACCTGAGGCTTTGGAAAACTAATTATGTGGACAGCCTTTGAAACCTGCTCATTAATTAAGAGAATATGGGTGTGTAATCCGTCATCTGATTCAAGACTATCATTATGACCCCTAGTTGACTGAGTTTTGAGTTTTCTCTGCAGCATTTTACATCACATTTCTGAAATCTGCTCCAAAATCACCACCAGTGCCTTGACTAACAAAGTTGGCACCGGTGCCTTGAGATAAGAAAGACACCATCATGACTATAGAATAACAAATAACAGTGGATTTTTTTCATTTGGAAAAGCATTAAATAACCTTGCTATAACATGTTATAGATTACGTGGTTGACAACAACATGTTAGTCTGTAATCAGTGGCGAAGCTTGCACATGCCCTCTAATAACTAATTGACATTGTCACAATTTTCCGATTTCATTCATAAAAAGATGAACAAACGTCTCGCACACTGCAGGGCTCCAATTTTCACTTATTTATTGCACCAATTTTATTTTATGTATTATTTTATTGGTGCAATAAATAAGTGAAAATTGGAACCCTGCAGTGTGCGGGCCGTTTATTCATTTTTTAATGTTCCCTCGTTTTTGGACCAGCACATGCCCTTTCTTTTGGCTGGGATGTGCATGTACATTTCTAAATTAAATTTAGTCTTAAAAATTCTTCTATTTATTATGAAAGGGAATTCTTTTTTTTCCCCTTTCTTTTTCTCTAAAGGGACTAAAGGGGACTATTGGGCTTTTTCACAGCAGACATTTAGACTTGTCATGGCAACGAAAAAACACATTAGTGATATCTAATAATGAAAATGTGACACTGAGTCAGCATGCACAATACCAGGATCCTGAAAGTAAAGCAACTATAAGGAATTCAGCCGTCATTAACTGTATTATTCACACTTTTGCTTTTCTATAAGAAGATAAATCTTGTCCTCTTGCAGCCGGTTACATGACTTGTCAGTAATGAATAAATGTGACTCAGGGGGACTCCATTGTGGCTGTGAAATGCCATCTATAAACACACACTTATACCTGCTGATGAGAGGCAGCTGGGTAGACGGGTATTCAGTTCAGTTCATCTACACAGGAGGGAAACTCAGTGGA